ACCTAAGACCACACCCACAACTACACCGAAAACCACACCCACAACTACACCTAAGACCACACCCACAACTAAACCCAAGACCACAACTACACCTAAGACCACACCCACAACTAAACCTAAGACCACAACTACACCTAAGACCACACCCAAAACCACACCCACAACTACACCTAAAACTACAGCCAAAACTACACCTAAACCCACCACACGCCCAACCACCAAGCCAATCACCACCGTACCTTGGACCACTCCAGCAACCACCTTGATTGTGGGAAATTACAGTCTGAAAACCAGCAAAGGAGACACCTGCCTGTTGGCTCACATGGCCCTGAAAATCCGTCTGGAGTCAGCCGAGGTATATTTCATCAGCAAAAGAAAACCTTCTTTGAACATATAGCAGAATTTCCAAACTGAGCCTTTGTCATTAGATTTGTGATATACTGTAATAACTGTGTCATAAAGTAACTGCAAGTGTTACATATAACAAAGCACAAAGTCATTTAAAAAAGGCTGCCACCTCATTCTCTTTTTTTGTTTTTTAAGGCGAATGGAACCTTCGTTGTTCAGCCACAGGCTGCCACAGTGGAAGGTTCCTGTGGGAACACCAATGCTAACCTGTCCATCGTCTTTGCACAGGGATGCATTACCTTCCTCTTCAACAAGGTACGTTTGATTTTCTGCTCAGAGATGTTGCAAATGCTATCATAATGTCTAGTAGAATCAGTTATTGGCAGAGAAGCCAAGTCAAGTGGTTAGCATGACTGATATTGTGACATTATTGCAATAAGGTAGTCATTTGACAATGACTAGCAAATATTCTAACAAATCACAGGAATAACTGTCACGGATGTCATTCCAATAAAGAGAAGTATATTTGTCTGGACTGTTCGGAAATCATGTGACAGTGAAACTACCTCAAAATAGGCCACCCTTATGTGATGCATTTAGTGGTTGCCAAAGAGACAATTCACACAGATGTTGACTCGTGCCAATATAACATCGATGGACCACTTTGAAATTAAATATTCTACCGTAGCATAACTACACAGACTAAAACATACTTGTCTTTCATTCACCTGTCACCTGGTTGTTATACAGCCTGGTCATTGGGAAATATTTAATACAAGTAAGGCATATGTTTAACATATTCTAAACTGTGTGCATGTGTGAAAATAAAGAACCTGTATATGACCCCAAAGTTTTTAATTAACCAAAAAGAAAGGCTTTTGTTGTCTACATTATTTGATTTTTTTTTTTTTTTTTTTTACTACCGATTTGAGGCCTAAACTTCAACATTTTGGCCATTTCCATCCAAGTCTCTTTAGATTCAGCTATGTGTGTGTGTTCAAGTGTATACAAGCTGTAACAAGCAAACACACTAATTGAATTTCAGCAGACTAAATGACAAGTCTGTGGTGCGTAGCCTGTTTTGAAGATGGTAGAAAAAATAAGCATCAGCAATATTCTTTTCCTCGCTCAGATGCTCGGTTAACCTATAACTGTTTTCAATAGTTGCCATTTAAAAATGCTGCAAGTAGCCCTTTGGCAGTGGATTACAGCTTGGTGAAAAATGTTCTTTTTCTGTTTCAATTCCACAGAGTGTTGCTAACAACACCGTCTATGTCAACGCTCTGTCTTTCAATCTGACCTATGCCTTCAAGAAAGGAGGTAAGCCAGAAATATTCATATCAAAACCTTGGAATGAAAACATTGATAAAGACAGTAAACCTTTCTCATTGGATCACTACATAAACACAACAGTTTCAGCTGCACAGCCGTTATGCAATTCTAATCAATACAAAAGCATTTCTGGTGTCAATATGTCTGCCTGTTTATGTTAAACTTTTTATAGAAAGTTTGGTTCCAAATGTCATTTTATTTTCTCACCGACATTTTCAACTCAAGCCATTGTTACAGCCTCCTGCCATAACTCTGAAATTTGCTTTGTCCCACTGTTGCAGAGAGCAAACGTTACAGTGTCTCCAACGCCACAAATCTGTTCCCTGCAAAGATTGGACACTCCTACTCCTGCAAGAATGAATCCATTCATATGGGAAATGGACTGTACCTGGATGTCAGTCAGGACAGGATGCAGGCCTTTAACCTGACCAACAACGACTTTGGCCGTTGTAAGTGAAAATAAGATTTACTGCCGAGCTTCTTACCAGTATTTAGACCTGTTGATTAAATGTGTAATGTTCGCCGTTCACTGTTGCTTTATGGAGGTCTTCTTTTTCCATAAACATCGCATTCCGGTGTTTTCTTCTAAGGTAAGGTTAGGTAAGAGTGTTCTGTCAAGAGGAGCCGGTTCAACCACTTTCTTTGATGGCAAAATGCTAACGGAAGCATTAAGAAGGTAGTGCAGGTTTTGGCTGTGCTCTTCATATAAAGAAAGGAACATATTAAACTTAACACTGCACCTGAACACTTAATTTATTCAAGTTAATTTGTTATTTTTGTATTTATCAACAGTTGAGGAATTGGTAGCTTTCAACTCAGAATAGTTTCTTTCATTTATGTAGTCATGTGATATTTTAACAGTAACGGTCTTATTTAACACGTTGTTTTCCATGAGTGACTTACCATCCCACTGTGTTGGTTCCAGCTGACCCTTGCCCCGCTGACCAGCCTGACTACCGGGTTGCCATCGCGGTGGGGGTAACTCTGCTGGTGCTTATCGTGCTGGTGCTGGTGGTGTACCTGCTGGGCCGCAGGAAGAGGACAGATGGCTACCAGTCTCTGTGAGGTGGCTGTCCACCAGCCTTTAAAGGAGTCTTCTCCTTGATCTGTGATGCTGTCATTGTGGTGGGGCTAAAGGGTGCTCTTACTTAAGCCAAACACAAAATATTTTAAGTTTATTGATTTACTTATAATAAAATTATATCAAGTGGAGCTGCCTGTGGAAAGTACCACTTGAAAAAATAAGTTTAAGCAAAGATTAAGCACAAAAAAAAAAAAATTTAAACTTCCCGCAAAACAGTTGCAGTTTCAGCAACTGCCGAGCGCTGATTGGCCAGAGAATCACATGATTCGTTCGCGAGTGTGTCACGTGAAGTGCTCCCGTTTAAAAAATTCGGCATCAGCAAATGTTCACTTTGATTATTTTTGTGCCAGTGAAGGTTGTGTGATAATCAACGTCATGACAAAAGTTAAATCAGTGATTAAGCAAAAAATAAAAAAAAGGTTTAAAACCTCCCCACAAAACAATTGCCGTTTCAGCAACTGCCGAGCGCTGATTGGACAGATAATCACATGATTCATTCGCAAATGTGTCACGTGAACCGCACCCGTTTAAAAAAAAAAGTGACATCAGGAAATGTCCACTTTAACTATTTTTGCCATAATCAACAGTATGAATGACAAATACAGGGAAAAACACGATGAATCAGCACAGCGATGTTTATGGTTACCGCGATGTTCTTCATCGTTGTCTCGTGCTTCTGTCACAAATAAACAACGTTACGGGCCAGCCGGCTCATTTCAGTTCAAAGCAAGTTTGTAGTGAAAAAAACTATTAGTAAGTAGGTACTAATGGAGAAACCCCGTATTTGGCTGGCTGTTTGAGTGTTATATGTGAATTGTCCAGTTTAATTTAGAATGATATATTGCTGCATTTGACGTGTGTTACTCTGAATTTATTTGCTGCACGTGGGTGTGATTCTCTTCTAATTATTAATTGTTCCACTGAGTAAAGCATGGTCTACAGGTAAAAGGTTTAAATAAACAGTGGAAATTTTCCAGCAGGATATTAACCCTCTTATCTGGGATAAGACAGGGCTAAATTCAACTGACTAATAAGGGACTAAAAAGGGACTCCATGTTAACATATTACAGTGTGACACTCACTAGATTTTGTGTAAGTTTTTCTATTGGATGTTTACATGGCATTATTCCTAAATGATTGATTCAAACTTTTGCTACAGTTCAATGGCGACACACTCAGGTTCCAAAAAACTGTCTATAAAGGGAAAATTCAAAAGACATTTGATTTTTCATGTCAGTATACAGCAATAGTTTACAGTAATCCTCACGTACAAGAATTCAACCCCAAAGATGCTTTCTCCTTGGGATGGATTAATGATGCAATACTTGTTTTTACGTCTTTCAACTGACATTATTATCGGTAAGAACTGACGAGGATGTCTGTAAAATTGCCAGCAATATTGATACTTTCAATACTTTTTATTACCTAACCCTGTTCTTAACCCTATATTATGCTCTCACTGACATTTGGGATTGTGAAGGTATAATATTTTAATTGATTACAATGAATCAAGAAATATATCAAAGATCAAATTTAAATGTTTGATTTTTTCTTTATAACATTCAAATTATACAGTTCCTTTTTTAAATAAATCAAATGTATGTATTCAAGAATAAATTTGTCTTTATTCTTCATTTCCTGTATAGGTTAATTTTACATAAGAATGCGTATGAATTCATAAACAAAAGGAACAAATAGGCACATGTTTATAAGGGATTGTTCCAAAATTAATTGCACTAATTACTTTTGCAGCTATGTACTTCTGTCTCTTTAACTAGAAATAGTTCATACTGTGCTTGTAACAATGAAAAATATGCTGCATTTGAATTCTCCCATTGCTTTATGTGGGCACTCTTGTTACCTTTTCGGCCAATAAAGATACATTTTCACATATTTCTCCATTCATTTACTTGCACATCAGATATATATACTAGTTCTTTAAACTGGTCCAGACAGTAAAGCCTGAAGAAATATTTCACATTTTTGTGTAGATGCATAAATATGCAAAAAGTTTTTAATCTAAAATATACTGAAACACAAGGACATAAATTAGACCATGGGGTGAACTGTTCTCACGAGTAATGTCTTTGTCTGCAAAAGTATAGTTCCTTCTCCTTTTTTTAAAAACCCAAAAAGCATTTTCTGTGATGGACTGGTGACCTGTCCAGTGTCCAGGGTGTATCCCCCCTCCTGCCCAGTGTCAGTTTGGCCAGTTCTGCCCGGATAGCAGAACAAGCTAACAAGCTGCTCTATAAACCGTAGTCCTGCCTACAGCACTCGTCCAGAATTATGACTAAAACACTCATGATTCGAGCAAAAAGTATTTCTTATGTACCTTCAAGTCAAAAACACATTCGTTCTAAACTTTTGTAGATCGTAAATGTAAGATTATGTATCGTTGCGAGACACGACAGAGAAAGCAGGATCCCGGATACCAGTTCTGCGCGCGCCAGCGAACGTGAAGGCATTTCTCGGCATGACACCGGTCACGGGGTCGTTTTTAAAGGAGTCTTCCCGATAAAGCTTCATCTATTAAATGTGTCGCCTCTTCTAGAATTCTAGACAACTTTAGGAAAATTGTCCTTCGTCTAATTCTGTCATTTTCGTCTAAGATGAAAAAGTTGCATACTTTTGTTCTTTTTTGTTAATTGGAAGTCGGTAAACGACTAATGACGCATTACCGCCACCCAGTGGCAAGGGAGGTGGAGCAACAATCACCGAGAAAAAAATAAAAAAGTTGTTTTCTTGCAGTCTCTTTTCAAATTAAAAAGACAATTACAGCCCAAATGTTTTTTAAATATGTGTTCCAGCTGATCTCAACAATGATTTGACATCGATTTGTCTTGACTTGCTTTGTGGGGCAGCCAATCAGATGTCGGGGTCTGCGGAAGAGCCTCACAGGGCCCGCCCCCTGAGTTTGATGGCTGGGTTTGACAGTTTGTGAACAACACTCACACAGGAGGCGGGAAATAAATCCAGTTCAATAATTCAATGTATTAGTAAATAGAGGATTTCTTTACATGCCCATTTTATTATTTATTTATCATTATCTAAAAAGGTCGATTTAATGGGACATTTGAGTTTGTAATTGCACCTTTCATTATTCCAAGATGTATTTGATTATTTATTTGATTATATATTTATCTATTATTTATTTATTTAATTATGTTTTTAACATTTTTTCAATACATTTCATGAATCGATGGTAAATTTAAAGTTTTTCCATTATATTTATTGATGATATATTTATTTAATTTTGTCCCCCTTATCCCTCCATACAAAAGAGTTCAGGAAAACAGACAAATCATTTGTACACAATGCGCTTGTTACGTTCATGGAAAATCCGAAAGCAGAAGACCAAAACCCGGAGAACCCAGAGCCCCACCCCCCCGGGGGGCTGGTGTTCCACCGACAGAGGCGGGACTCGGTCTCCCATGTCCACCAAATTATTGAGACAACTTTTTATCAGGAAAGCCCAAACACTGAGGCCGTGTGTTTGTAAAGATCCCGAGGAAACTGATCATGGCAGGTAAAAAAATAAAGAGCTCGAGTATCCATTAGGTTTGTGAATGCACAGGTTTGGGCTAAAACGGCTGAAAATCTGCGTGATCTCTTATGTTTGTTCGCGATGATGAAATCCAGATGTCGTCCTCTTGATAACTGGGGTTGGCTTCCGCTTCTGTCCTGTCCGGAGCATGTTCTCTTAATGGTCACTTAATGGTCAACAAATGAGAGATTTCTATGGGTTTTGCATGTCACAAAAAGGCTAAACGGCTGTTATGCAAATATAAATCTGCTGTTTTTTTCTCTTTTTTTTTGAAAGCTCGTTTTTTGGGAGAGGATCCACTTTGACTTGTTGAAAAAACTATCCTGGAATATGAATAACCTCAAAAATGACATCAAGAAACAAGCAACAAATATTTTTGTCCAGGATTTTGTCATTTGGTCAGGATACTTTTTATTCAACAAGTCAATTTTCTCTTATTTGCAAACAAGTTCCCATAGAACCCTTCTGCCATCACTATGTATACTCACTTTTTTTCTTAGATAGCATAACATTGTCATGCTTTCCTTTTTCCTGTGTGTCTGACCGTTTAAGACCCCATAATAATTGAATATGTGTCACAAACTGAGCGCGCTCCCTGCAGATGATGCAGTCGTTGTGGAGGAAGGGATCAACCCTGCTCAGAGCCCCTTAGTGGCCATCAGCTTCCAGAGGGACGTCCACAGGAAGCAGAAGTACCTGGAGGCCGAGCCCAAAGCTCTCGGGGTAATCCGTGCATTTGTACGCGTGTGCCGTCACCCTTTACTTACCTCTATCGTTTCAAACTGTGTGTTCCAGATAACCCAGATCGGCCTGAGTGCGTACGGCATCATCTGCATCGGGATGTTTCAGGCCAAAGGGCTGAGTAGCCTGAGCACTGACATACCCTTCTTCATTTCATCTCTGCTGGTAAGCAGGTGCAAAACTCCAGTTTAGTTCAGAAATGTAGAGGGAGCAAGTAATGAGACAATAAAATCAATCAATCTCTCAATAGATTTTATATTATTGACCATTTAAACTCTTAGAAACTGTATGTAAGACAATAATTTTCTCATTTTTTCTTATTTAGAGACACTGAGCTTTTTTAGTTTTGAGGTGTCAAATTACATCAAATAAAGACAAGAGTTCATTTTAATTTTAATGAGAATGAACCAGGCGAATGTAGCAAAAAAAAAAAATTGACTTTAGGTTTCCAACTATTTTATAGCTTGAGAAGTAATTATGATGAAAATGTAAAGAATTCAATTTTTTATATTTTTTACTCTTGATTTTATTCTCTGAAGCTGTTAATTAATATTTTCTTTCATAATGTTTCCATGTTAGGCATTTAGAAATATTGCCCCATTGACCCACATATTTTAGGGCTTATTGCTTTTGGGTTTACTTCTGTGAAGATAACAAGCTACTGCATTAACTCAGCAATAACTGGTTGTGGTGTAAAAGTGGCTCAGCTCAGGTTTGAATCTGAAGCAGAGAAACTGAGACTGTTGGGTTTTGTTTTTCTTAAAGGTGATAATAGCTGGGAACGTGGCCGTAGCAGCGCAGAACCTTCATCTGCCCACGGTGAGTCACACACAAGAAACAGAAGTGGGAACACTACACAACTATGAGCTACAACCTACCAAAAAAATGGTAGCTTGTAATGTCAAATGTAAAAAGTCTGCCTGAAACTGAACTCTCTTCTAGTTTAAAGGAGCTTAGATTCTCTGCCTCTTGTTCTAAAACACGTCACATAAAGCTGAAGGAAACTGTCCACTGTCTTGCCAGTAGGTTTGCCCACAAATCCCAGATTGTTTCTCTAACAAAAGAGGCAGACAGGTGACCGGGGACAGGTCTAAACATAAAGAGGGCCGAGTGCTGTGAAACAGGGCTCGTAATCAGGGTTCAGTGGAGTAAGATACGCAGATTTAGCTGTCAGGAAGTAGCTGCCAGCGTGACAAAGGGAAGTGAAACAGGCCTTTTATTCTCTTTTGCATGTAGGTTTTTTTTTTTGGTTACCTTTTTCTAAAGAAACATTCTCCTTTGTCTCAGTTGAGGGCCTGTTTGGGGATGCAGATTGTGTCATGTGGGGCCTCCATCTTCAACATAATCTGCACATTGATTAAAATGGAGGACATGCCCTATTACTGCTGGCAATATTACTACAATGAAAACAACGCACAAAATTATGGTGAAATCTGCCATCAAATTGAGGTGAGTAAGGCCACTATATACTATAAGAACATAATGATCATGTACAATTATATGTATATATATATATATATACACAGTGGGGGAAATAAGTATTTGAGCCCTTGCTGATTTTGCAGGTTTGCCCACTTACAAAGAATGTTTATTTTTCCTCATCAGATGGTTATCAATTTTTATAAATTCACATGATGTGATTTTCTGGAATTTTCTTTGGGATTCTGTCTTTCACTGTTAAAATGTACATATGATTAAAGTTCTTTGTAAGTGGGCAAACCTGCAACATCAGCAAGGGGTCAAATACTGATTTCCCCCACTGTATATGGATATATGCCGGTACAGTACATGCAGAGTAGAAAGCCTCTATTTCTCTTCCAGAACTTCCAGTCCCACTTTTTTGCTGGTGGCGTGGTCATCCAGGTGACTCTGCTGGCCATCTCGGCCACTCTGGCTGCCTACAGTTGCAAAGTGGTCAACTGCTGTGGACCAGCTCCCAAAATTGTGAGTGTATACAGACTGTTGTAATTATTTGTTAACCTTCAGCACGGCCCATTCCTGGAAGTGTCTTAAAATTCAAAAGTATGCAGAACCCTCTTTAGGAAAATCTTGACACAGACAATAACGTTTTTGGAGCATCTTGTAACTTCGCTTGCGTCATTTTCTGCCCTCACAGCCAGTGATCGCTGTCCAAACCCCCCCGGTGAGGGGGGAGGAGGTCCAGAGGAACACACAAGAATGATGCACAGCCTCAAGGTTTTTTTTCCTTGCTCCGTCTATCTTTGCTCTTTATCAGAAAGCTTCCTTTCTTTTAATTTTATGTATAAATCCATGCATTTTACCAAGCCAGCATTGCCCAAAAGAGACTGTTAGCAGACTGTTAGCCCACTTCTTGACTTCTGTTAGCTGGGATAGGCTACCGCGACCACTTTGGGAATAATTGGTATAAAAAAAGGATGGACCATCTACTTTTTTAAGCTGTCCATGAGTTCAAGATTTCATTTCCTGGGAGGGATGAGTGTCCAGATATTGTAAATTCTTTTCAACTTTCCAACTTCTGAATAGAACCTGCACACACCAGGAGCTTGAAATTAAACAGGTCATGACAAATGTTTTTTTAAAGAAATATGTCTGTTCAATATCTAAAATTTTTACTTTTTTTTTTCCTCGTTTCGAAAACAAGCTCTCACTGGACCAATATCAGCCTTGTTGACGCAATTTACATGTTAACGAAAGATTTCCTACAAAACTATTGGATGAGAATGTCACCTCTGTGTTAATAGTGTAATTAACATTGTTATAACATTTTTATATACACAAATATATACGTATACCTATTTTCTTCATAGAAATGTATGTGGTGATCAAGTTTATGAATTACAATCCGTGGGAGGTTTTTGAATGTTCCCCATCAAATTGCATGAAATTTTGAGCACTGAATTAATGTTTAATTGTGTCATTTACAATGATTACTAACATTACTGCTAATAAAAAATTCATACACTCGCTTGCACTCTTTTAATGTGGAACTTTGATAAGGTGTGATTATGGTGTAAATGTTGTTTACTGTATGCTAAAACTTAGTTTTAATGTAAGAAGATTATTTTAACTAAAACTACTAAAGGGAGGGATACAAGAATAATAATGACCTGCCATTTTACAGATATTTTATTAACACAGAAGGATTTCTACTGAAAGTTACCTCTATTTGCAGCAAAAGAAAAAAAAAAGATAAAATCTTTTTTTTTTTCAGTTGAAAACAAAACATAGAAAAACGCTTGTCAATTAATAATTCATCATAATTTTTTTCTCCACAAACTTTCATCACAATAAACACATTTTCGTACATTACATTATTAAAATTAGCAATCCATGATAAAAAATACAATCTCAGATTTATTTTATACTCTTTCAGTCACACTGAAAAGGAAATATGTTCCTCTGGTTTTCTGAGAATGATTTTGCTTTCAAAATGAGAAATACATGCATTTTTTTAAGCCTGCGTTTGTTCACATCTGGAGCTCGTCTGCCCAGTGGTTCTGTGAAAGATCACAGCGATCCAAGTTAGCAAACCAAAATCAACACTGAGACGCAACAGAAAAGAAGAGCGCTGGCCTGCCCGGTGCTTTTTAAAGGGGACCCAGTTTCCGGACTGACCTGGGATGAAGACCCCGCCATCTCCTCCAGGTCTCCCAAGCAGCGGTTTTTGTGACGGATGAGGGTCCCCCACAGCAGCCCGCGACCACACGACGGACACTGGCCTTCCACCGGCAGCAGGTGGGACGGCTCCAGCCTCAGGAAATGTCTGGCCAGGCACACTAAGTGACCGCTCATCTCACACGATGGGTGGAAACAGCTGACCCTCTCCGACACCTGACCAGGAGAGAAAACATTCACTGGAATATAACAGACCTGTTTCACTCCATATTTGAAAATCATTTGTTCGATAAGGACTTTTTATCTTGATCCCAGTACGAGTTACAGGTATAAAAAGGTATATAAAGTCTCTTCATTTTCACTAAATATCTGAACTTGTTCTCTACTCTCAGATCGAGGTGCTCTGACTGGTATGAGGAGCAGAGTCAGTCTGAAAGTGAAAATATAAAACAGATCTGCAAAGATTGGAGAACAATGATTGCTGCTACTTGCAAGCTGCCAGTTTAATAATATGAATCCCATTACAATGTCGACTCAACAACTAACGTCTAAATATGAGCCTATGGTTAAATATCTAAATCCAGATTTAGGCACCTCAAGTAGAAGTGCAAGCTAAATAAAAGTGAAAATACACACAGAAACCAACCCAGTTTTGGTTTTATAAAATAATATCCACCTTAACCATTAAAAAAAAACCCACAGACACTGTCAAAGCATGCAAAAACTAACTTTTTTTCTGTGATTAATACTAACCAAATTACCAAAAGTCTATGATTAGAATGAACAATTTCCTTGATAATGCATTTCTATAAAATGCTGAGATCCAAAGAATTGTTAACAATTGGTTATCTAAGAATAACCAATTAACAATTCTTCTATTTCTTCTCAGGTTCTGGTTCTGCTCATTTGAAATGTTCTCAGTTAGATTTAGTTTGGCAGCGAAAACTCTGTTCTTTTTGGTAATTATATCTCTAAAACTCATCAGTAATTTTTATCTCTAAAATTCATCAGTACTTTTGAAATTCTTCAAATAATTTTAGTGTCTTGAGTTGCAGAGTAAACAGTATTTTAACTCAAGTTGGTTTTATAAAAGAAAAACGCATCTTTGCACTTTATCTTAATTAATATAAAATAAACTATGGATACTGTAGCAATTTCATCTAAGGATCCAATTTTTAGCAATTCCGTGGGATTATATTTTCTTCTTTCATGGAACTGAAAACCCTATTACACAGATTTTTCAAAAAAATCGTAGGATTTCATACATCTAATTTGTAGCAGCCATTGCTGTGTCTTTTTAAAAAAAAAACATTCTACATATAACGAAAAACAAAAATCATTCCAGGCTGGCAGACCAAATAAAGACCTTATTCACAGCTTAAATGAGTAGTTGATGTTATATAGTGATTTCTGGATGCATTAAAGTCGAAACTTCTTACTGCCGGGTGACAGTACCTGCACCATCCCTCTGCAGAGGAAGCACTTGAAGGTTTCCTCTGATTCCGGAGCACACGGCACAGACAGTTTCTTCTTGGCCCTCACGCTGCCAAAAGCAATGGGGACGTGCAGGGGGGGCTGCAAGCCGGGTTCAAAGTCCATCCTGTACTCCTGTTTGAGCCAGCGGGCGGTCAGCGGGAGTCGGTTCCACGGCGCCACCCGCAGCATGCTGGACACCACCCGCCAGTGGAACTGCAGGCTGGACTCCCTCCTGGAACGCCGGCAGACGTGGGAAAGCCGTCTGGAGGAGTGAGGGTGCTGCCACGCCCACTCAAACTGACAGGAAAATGACGGGATTTCTGTTTATTTTTGTGTCAAACTTAGGGATATCAAAGGTTTTTTAGCAATACATACAGGGTGTCCAGACTAAACATCAGCGTGAGTTAGTTAACCTTTTTACTTATAAGACACACAAATAAATAAACACAATATACTGTATTTTAAAGCATTCACTAGAGTCAATAATTTGTGTGTATAAAATGTTTTCATATCCTCAATGGCCAATCAATGGTAAAAAAAACTAAATAAAAATCTCATCTCCTGTGACATAACTGATGTTTACACTTTCATTGGATTACTGTTATTTACACAGGGGTTTTTAATGGATTCACAAGTTGGCATCAATTATGTTCAACTAATTAACCAATCCCCAGCTTTAAAACCACATGCGTTTACAGCAACAGAAAAAGTTAACCTTGATGTGCCTTGACTGAATGCTAGTGGTTAGATTTAAGTTACCTAGGCAACAAGCAGGACATTAATAGTTCAGAAACGTTTTCCTTCAAATTACGGTAAGAATGAAAACACAAGAGTTCTTAAAATGCTCTATATATCTGTTTGGGGAAATGTTCTTCCAATTAGCAAAAGATAATATGAACAAGTGTGGATTATAAATTCAGTAACTGATAAAAATGGAGTATAATTCAGCTTTTTAGCCATCAAGGAAAAACACTACGTAGAGTGTAAACCAATTAGTCCTCATCCTAAGAATACCATCTGTACAGTGAAGCATGACAGTGGCTGCATCATGTTATGTGAGAAACACTCACGAGGAAACCCAAAAGAGCTGAGGGAGTGATGGATACGATTGAATGCAAGTCCATGTTACTGCCTATATCAGTTCAGCTCACTTAAAACTAATCTGAGGCAATGACAAAACTTTAGATACAAGAATCTCTGAAATGAGAAACCAAAAAATGCAAAGATTCAAGAAAAGTCAAGTTCTACTGTTTCATGTAAAAAAAAAAGGGTAATTTCAAGAGCACTACTAGATAAGCCTCAAGTGAAAAAAACTATAATTTTACAGCGTTATACCCAAATATTTCAAACAGATGCTTCATAATATAACTTTAGTTTATCTTTTTTTATTACAAGTGGAAAATCCTGTTCCCTGTATATAGTAGGAAGTGTGAATGTTCATATATTTGGTGCTGTGGTGCTTTATCATGCTACGATTATTGTTTCAGGTGATTTTACAGCCAAAATCATCATGACTATATACGCTTTTGGATTGGTTTTAGCCTCAGGAGACAAGATAACTCCTATGTCCTCCCATCAAACATCTGATACTAACCCTCAAAGCAGCAATATCTGAAGGAAATCCATGGATAATGAGGACCATCTCCCTAAACGAGACAGAGTAAATACATGCAGATTAGACAGAAGGTGATTCCAAAAGGAGCAGTTTCAGTCATCTGAAACAACTGACACTACATCAAGTCCTTTAGATCATACCATGGTCCTCTTCCACTGGTCCTCTTGGCCCCACCTCTGTGTCGACCGGCATTGTGCTGCCCTATCCTCCGCTCGGGGTTCACAGTGAAGCCGATGTAAATACGGCCTTTAAATTTTGGATTGGTGCAGTACAACATATACACACCAAAAAAGCCTTCTACTTCGACTACCATTCTATTTTCAAAGTATTAGCGTCAGCCCAGTATTGACTACATGTACAAGAACATACATGGCATCGATTGTAAACAGACAAGCTAGTTTCAGTTAACGATTAGCTAGAACATCTAAACTCCAAAAGAAAGAAGTTTAAAATGAACCGCAAGGAAACAACCATCTTATGTCAGTTTAGTCTACACTCCACAGCTGCTGACTTAGTAGCCGGAAAAGATGCCTGATCTATTAATTGTCCAAAACCTGAGACAAAAAAAATCTCACATTTAAAGGGTGGTTATATGGGCCTCTCCATCAGTTGCTGAGGATATAAGGTTCTTCACTGTTTTGTTCCTTTTTGTTACGATACATGATTCAATCATTTTGTTTGTATTTCTGCCGGGACTCCTAACGTTGTGATTCGTTCATTTCAAAAGTATGCCCCGTCCACACTTTGCAAGGCACAATCTGATTGGCTACATTTTTCATTGCTACAATTCAATTGGGCGTGCTATAACACATTGTCATTAACACGCTAACTTTGAAGCCATCCGTACCACAGACAGTTATACAATATAAACAGTGTATAAATGATTATATATTTCGGTGACTGAAATTGGCAGGACAGTTATCATTCAGCTCTGGTAATAACAAACGTGACATTAATGTTGAAGTAAAAACAGAACTTGGTGAATACCGTAATGCTTCCGGTGTCATCCTGTCGGTCTTATTCAGGAGATAGAGATTCATTGACTTACTACTAAATTTCTTCGGCATTATTCACTAACAGACACTATTTTGTTTTTATGTAGACATGGCAATAACAGCAGACCACATACGTGAAAAACTAACCAAGGAACTCGGGGCAGTGCACGTGGTAAGTCTGTTATTTACATAATGTAATTTCTTGTGGATTTCTGCGAGTTGAACTATTGTCCACTTGTACCTTTTCCAGTGGTCAACTAAAGGCTATACACACCCATTGTGGTGGTTTTCAGAACTGTCCGAAGTGAAACGATTCAGCTTAACCAAGCTAGCTTTTGCCATGTCCCACATGTGAGCTGTGGTAGCTACAAGAGTTGAATGCACACAAAAGGAATAATGTCTGCTCATAGTTATCTGTGTATGTCACCATTGGTGTTTTCTTTGTTTTGTCTGTTTTTTTCTTTGTCCAGGATGTGGAGGATACCTCTCCCAACAGATGTGCTGCCAGCTTCAAAGTCCTGGTGGTCTCGTCTCAGTTTGAGGGTAAACCACTGTTACAGAGACACAGGTACGACTTGTTTTAATGTATTTTAGAGACAGAATCAGAAACCTTGTGTTTTGATACAAACCATGGAGGAGGATGTTTACATCTATGGTGTTATGTTGGCATAAACAGTGAAGATTAGTTGGCAATAATTACAAATTCTTGAGTTTTTTTATGGAGGATGGTAAGTAGTTTAAGATAAATGATCTACAGTGAAATAACCTGCATGTAACTGTTTCTAGATAGAAGCTCCACAACCACTGATTTAGTTTTGCCAAATGGATATTTAGAGGGATCGAGCTTCATATTTACTTTCGTAATCTTATCATCTAAAATCAGACATGAATGCACCAAACTGTGACTGATATTCATATGTCGGCTCTGTTTGACCAATGTGGAATAGATGGAAATTTTACCTTTTCAATGTGCTGTATTCATCTTCATGTGTCAAAAGACTTTTGATCTTTTATGTTACAGATGTCCCATGCAAACCTGTGTTCTGTCTGTTTGCAGGATGGTGAATACATGCCTTGCCGATGAGTTGAAAGAAATCCACGCCTTCGAACAGAAGACCCTCACACCAGAGCAGTGGGAGAAACAAAAATCCAAATGATCCAAACCTATTCCAATCTGCTTGCCACTCATACCATAAAACACGTTTTTTTCTTGCAGTCAAATACAGAATTTATTTATTCATCTTTGTATTAACCCACATAAATCAATCATCCACTTAAACATAAACATTTTGATGCTGCTGCAATTGTTTTTTGTTTTTTATTTTGTGATCAATTTGATCATAACCGCTGTACTGGGGAGACCTGAGGTGTTAAACTCTTGAATTAAATAGAATAAAATGATTTGTTTGACGGTAAAATGACAATTTTTTTTACTCGTTTTGCATGTAGTGTTGTATTTTCTGTGTATAAAATTTAAAAACACCTAGGGGTTCATATATGGGGTTCTGTGTTAAAGGTCTAAACGCAAAGGTAGAGATTGGTTATGTGGATGCTCATGGAGTAAAGTTAACCATTTAAATAATACAAATAAGATAAGTGGTACACTCCTCTCTAGAGTGTACCACTTTACTTTCCCAGGTACTGGGAGATAGGCTGTAGTCTTTGGAAAAATTCAACCTAAACAATTTCATGTTGGATTGTTTGAGGTGGCTGGTGTTAAAGGCCAGAATATAATAAATCTGTGTCTATAGCACTCAAACTTTCACTTAAAATCCAAAAGAATAAGTCAACGTGAATGTTTTTGACTCCAGATCACCCCTGATGGGAGCGGGTGCATATGGTCTTTGGGATTACTTGAGCTACATTTCTAACAGCATGTGACTAACTCTGAAATCGCATGAATAATATGTAAAAATGGGGATTGTGCATAAATTAGATGAGTAAGGTTCAACCTAAATTACATCTGCTGAACAAATCTTTCAACTTGATTGCACGCGTGTAGGTAGGAAGTGTTATGATCGCATGGTGTGATCAGAGATGCCTCCTACCTGTGTGGTTTTCTGGGCTTAAAACAGTCGAAAAATAAGACAAAAGGGAAGGCTGACTCATTAAAAACACGTGAGCAATAATATAAGACAATGCTTAAATGTATTATTATGAATGCCTATCTGTTATTGAAGGGTTCTAACTGGAAGGGTAAACTACAAAATAAAAATGTTTGTGCATTTTATGATCCCTCAAAATAGGACTCTTGAAAACCAAATCTCCCTCTGTAAATAATCTCCAACAGTGCATGTGATGAATGCTATTGACCACTCACCACCGTCCGAATAATCCCAGTATGAAACAAAGCTCATCAATCTAGCAGACTGAAATGATGAAGCGTCGGGCGGGGGGACAAACCCCCGTCAGGAGGTGTTTCCACAGAGATCAGCTGCCAGTGGTTGAGCTAATGGAACCTAATTGATGTATTCACTGTCAGCTTTTCACTTCAGTGCCTGTGTGTAAGCTGTGAGTGGGTGTTTGCAGTAAGCAGCTCCCGTAAAGAAATCAAGTTTAATTTTGACGTGAGAAACAGCACATCTATGGTTTATTTCATTATGACTTCTAATTATTTATTCAGGTTAAGAATAATGTAATTTACACAAGATTTCTGCACATGTGGTGTTTTATTCTCTTTTCAGTAAAAATAGTTGTGGTAGCATTTATTGCTGGAACCAGTTTTTCTACAAAAAAAAAATGTAAAAAAGTACAACCCCCAACAATTCTGAGGTTTTACAAGTTGGGACATAATCAAATATTCATTTTGTCTTCACAAAAGCCATCAATAATGGCAAATACACCCTTAAATGAACACAGCATTACATACAATGCAGACATAAAGACAATGGTTTGTGAAAAACCAGGTCCACTTCATAATTTAGCGTGTTTTATTGTTCTCTGTTTGAGTTCTCCTCTCATAATCAGGGCAATTACAACACGTTGATGCATTTAATCTTTTTGAGGCCTTTTAGTGAATGATTCTTTTGTGTTGTCACAGGAAAAATTACCCAAACAAAAGCTTATTGCAACAAATAGACTAATCGATGTTCCTACATATACTCGTAGTGTCTCCCAGATAAAGTTCCTGCATAGTCTCACTGTGCGTTATAAGATAATTCATCGACAGGTGATTTTAGGTAAGATTTCAGATAAAAGCACAGGTTTCATCATGCCTGTTCATACCAGAGAGCGTCTCTCGGCTAAATGGTTGGGATAGCTGAATACTTTATAATTTGTGACTTCTCTGGTTTCCCAAATAAACTTAATCCAAAACACATAGGCTAATTTAGTGCTAGCACAGATATAAACAGAGCAGACACATTGTCTGCTCTTGCACCCACTCTTGCTTTGGATTTATCCTGTTAAAGCTCCAACCATCTACACTCGTCATTGAAAAGTAGGATTGCTCAGCTTTGTTCCACCAATCCCTCCACAGCATTCTGACCATATTTCTTCTAAAACTAAATGCGACCATGGCTGGGTTTATTTCATATATATATATATATATATATATATATATATCCTGTATCGTAACAAATAAAAAGCTCTATACAAACATGTTAAAATAACTAAATGATCATAGAAAGCTGAGTGAGAGTTTAAAGTCAATATAAAGAGTACAGGTTTGATATACCTCCTCCCTGAGGTTCATTTTTGGTACATCTGTTACTCACAGATCCCGAGGGAAAACTGCCTCGGTATAAATGACCAGGATTAATGTCATATTGTTCAGCCTTGAAAAGATATTACTTCTGGTCTGAGTGGTGAATGCAGTCACTCCCCACACACACTCGCAGTTGGATAAAGAAACGCTGTTCCTCCACCTCTGCTCTTCCATTAGCAGCTCTTGGGAGGGTAAGTGGTGGAAGTAATCCCCAGATATTGGTTCCCCCTCAGCCTGTATCAGTTCCCATGTTCTGTGATGGATAAAATCACATCAGACTTCAATTTGTTCCTATCAAGGCTAGAACCACTTTAAACTTCACTGCGTTTATCTGTTTATAAAATACAACCAATTCATTGATACAAAAATCAACACTTTTTAACATCAATTATTTTTCAAATCACAGACCTACATTCCTTTATGACATTCTAGTCCTCTTCTATTCTTAAAACAACTTTCTTCCTCATATCTATTTTGTCTTTTCATTGTTTGTTTATTTGTTATTCAAACTTTTCTTCGATAGCATATTGAGCATATTGTTATAAATAATTATGGCCCCTACTACACCTGCTGCCTGATCTGATTCCCCATGACAGGATTTCAATATTGGAAACATTGTCTACAATATCTTTAACAATATCTTTCTCGGAAAACAACTTCAAGTGAAACTTAGTGTGATAAACAAAAGCAAAAGAAGTATTAGCGATACTGTAAACATAACCATACATACTATTCCAGTTTTCAAATTTCAAACTGACAGTACCTGACCAGTCATAGCGTGCTGCTTTTCAGCATAGTGGGAGAAGCTTTAAGGTAAATATTTAACAGATATTTTTCTTCTTTGAGATGAAAAAGTGCCAATATTGCAAGATTTTGTGTGTTTTTTGTGCTGTTCCATTTGCTTTTAAGTCATTCTACTTTGTCCACAAGTGTTGTATATAATTGCATTCTCTTATTTTAAGTGTCCCAAAAAAAAAACAAAAAAAAAAAGAGATCTTTCTTTAGACACAGTGGACTTACTTAGCAGGAGCTAACATCATCATCAGGCTTTTCTGAAGATGACTACCATAATCTCTCTGACCAAAGTTAAATGTGGAAGTAAATGTGGATATGATACAACTTTATCTCTAACTAAACACAGCGGACAGGAAAATAAACTGAGAAAACAAGTCAGAAAGTAAAAGGCTAAGAGGGAAACAACACCAGAACCTGAGACTGATTGTTGGTGATCCTGCTAAAGCCACAAAAAGACTACACTTTTATGGGGAAAGTGAGAGACAACATGTAAATTCTGGCTAGGCGTCCAGCTGTAAAGAGCCTTTTATTACACCAGTACTCTAACTTTATTGTGAAACAGCACCCTGAGGTGGTAAAAGGAGACTTCCAGAAGCTGTTCCCAGTCTAGTCCACTTCACTTCAATTTTATGTTGGAAACACATCAAAACCAGATGGTTTGGGGATGTTTGGGCTATATTTATGGACGATAAACTCACCCACAAATTATCACTTGGCCTTTTTCATCATATGAGCATGTGTCATTCAGCCTGGAGATAAAACAATCTTCCATTCTTTACATTATAATCTAAAAAAACTCCATGGAGCTGTTTTATTGATGAGTTAACTGAATTACTTTAACTTGTGTGCACTGCTTTTGACTTTCTCCTTGCTTTTCTACTAAGCCCTTTTACTAAGACTATATCCAGCCTTCGATTGGTAGAATAATGTCTATCTGATTTTATTTAGTGTTTTAGATAACTATGTTAATGTTGCCCCAATGATGTGTTGCCCCTATCAAAAATCTTATACTATTTTCCTCCATAGGCTAACCCTAAGGTCCAGTCAAACTGAAATAAAACTGAGATCAGTGTCTGCAGCCCACAGAAAGAAAGAGAAAGTGTCATCAGTCAACTTCAGACTCTCTTTCTGGAACCTAAAAATCAGGATAAAATCTTGGGGTAATACTGGACTCAGACCTGAGCCTTAACAGCCACATTCAATGACTTCATTGGCCTTTTACCATCTCAAAAACACTGCCAGAATTGGTGGAGTAGTGTCTAAACCAGAGGACCAGAGTCTTGTACACAAAATGTTCTATACAAATAAATTTGCCTTTGCCTTTACCAGAAGTAACCACCAATATAGATAACAAATCATCAAACTTTATTTCCCAAAAAAAGCTTACTTACACTTTTAAAAAGTTATCTCGGGTATCATGGAAATAAATACAAATAAATACGTCTTTGGAACCCATCAAACATTTTCAAAAAATGGACCTCCAAGGGAGGTACACATAAATCTGTTCTATACCTTCAGATTAGCAGTTCAGATAAAGGAATGTGACCATACTGTGAAATTTAAACCAGAAATATTTCTATATTTAACACTCTGCTCGACTATTTGGAGGAGTACGTTTACCTCTGAAAGATTAGCTGAGGTGACCCAACTGAAACCTAAAACTTTGTTCAGGCTATAATGGTTAGAGGAAGTTCATTTTATGACACTCACATTTTGCCGAATTTCAAATGTATCCAAATATTCTTTTTTTAAATCCATAATGAATTGAAAAAAATGAAACATTGTTCATTACTTTTTCTCAGTAAAGCATTTAAAGGTTTGTGCGTCCATATAAATCATTTGACTCAATGTTGATTTATGGATAAGGTATGTTACTTCATATCAGAGCAGAGAACTTATGACTAATATCTAATTTCATCTACATTTCTTATTTGTATTATTAACCTATTTTATACACTGTGATCAGCATTAAATTTTAAAAAATGTAGTTACAATTACTGTTGTGAAAAAAATAGAATTCACTGAATATTCCCATAATCTTTTTCAGTAGTCGTCTTTCATTGGATTGAATTCTGAAAATAAAAAAGATATTTGGGGCACTGATTGTCAGTACTGCCTCTTGTTGCTGATGTCCAACATGGCGTGGAGCTCCCCCGGCTCGTATCCCAGAAGCCCTTGCAGGTTGCAGACGAAGCGATACACGTAGCGTTTGCCAGCTGTCTTGCGGATTATGTTCTTGTCGTAATAGTACCGAAGGCCCCGGCTAAGTTTCTCATAGTTCATCTTTGGTTTGTTCTTCCTCCTACCCCAGAGCAGGGCTACCTGCAAACAGCCAGAAATACACGCCTTTTACTTTCACATGCCTAAAAGTACACTCATGTGATTAGTAGTAAGTAGTAGATATTAAAGATGATCTGATGTGATATGATGTCACTTTGTTTTTTTGGGGTACACACTAAAACTATATTAATAAGAACACTGCCCACAGTTTATGTCGATCTATAGCTGCCTATAGATTTGTTGAGCTATAGCTAATCTGATGATTGACATCAGTTTCCATTTGAAGAATTAACTGTGATGAAGATTTTGAGGATATCTTAAGACAGGAGCATGAAAATCTTTGAAAAGTGATGAACAAGCACATTTGTGTTCAAAACAAGCTATTATGGAACGCTTCAGAAGGCTCATATTTCTGTTCAATAGTTTTGGTTGAATATTTGTGGCAGAGTTGGAAAGTGAGAAATTAGTATGAGCCATATAGATCAATTCGTTGTGATTGTTTGTGATAAAAAACATTTTTGAAAAATTTTCATGGAGATTTACTTTGATACCAACTAATTTTTACTTACTATCATTCAATCAAATGTGTATATGTTTGTGGACCTTTAGATTCAAGTTGATTTTCGTTACCTATACTTTTCAAATGCGTTTATCCAAAACAATGTTTAACCCTCTCTCGTATGGTTTTTTGACCATTTTATTCCAACTATTTTTAGGAGGAAAAACACATTTTTTGAGCTGTCATGGTCATGATTGCACTTGGATGTGGTTCTTTGATTCTGTTCTGAGTTTGAGTTGGGTCTGAGCAGGTTTCATGTTTCTAAACTAAACAATAAAGAAAGCATTGGGTACCTCGTCTGGGTCTGTTAGCTTAAATTCCCACCCGTCTCCGGTCCAGCTTATGCATGACTGGCAGCTGCGGTCAGTCAAAAGCTCCAGCAGAAACTGCCAAAGCTGAATGGGACCACTACCTAAAATAATATTAAAGTAAAAAGCAATACATGTAAATCCACAATTTAAGACCTGACATCTATATTAAATAAAGAATTATGATCTACTACCACATCCGTACTTACCAGTGTAACCTGCGAGGATGGCTGCTGGTATAACGGCCGTACTCAGATCTCTTTTGTTGCCAACGTAGTCTTTGAAGCTTTTATGTTTTTGGGGTGACGTGAAAACATCATCAGAAATATTCTCTTCCATCCAGGATAGAGAGCCCACACTGTCAGAGTCACCATTGTGAACACCGTTTGCTTCTGAGGGTATCTCTGGAAATATGCAAGAGCAGAGACACCAAATTTAATAAGAATTCATTCATATGTTTCACATTGTAGGTAACAAATTAGCATAGTGTATGGGAATGAAATAATATTCAACATGTTCACAAAAGCTGAGTGAGGTTTCCAAAGTCAAGTTTTTGAACTGGAGTGATTTTTTGGGTCATTTAAAACTTCGATTTGATTTAAATCTCTAATTACAATAAATGTGTTTCCTTATTTATTATTTTAACTTCAGATTAGATTTTTTGTACTATTACTGTAGAATTATTTAGTCTGCACCTGGATATGTCAAGCTTTTAGATATTTGTCCGATTTGAGCTCCACCAAATTCTTCCATTAATCAGATTTGTGGAAGTAAAGACAGGGATAAGGGGAAAAGGGAAAAAAGGGGTCCGTGTGTGGAATTTGTGGAGTATGGGCTATCATTATCGCACGTTCTTTTTCGGGGACTGAGCAAAAAAGTTATATGGAAAGCCATTGTTCCCACAGGGATATCATCATAGAAGAGACATTTTTAGGCCAAATAAATAACCAAGGCAGAAGGTAAACCTGAGTTCCTGTCATGTAACTCATCTTAAAAGAGCTTTTCACCTCTGTTTCCGTCTCTTTCGGGCATCAGAGCTGAAACGCTGAAGTTCCTGTCAGGATGTTCATTTTTCATCAGATAGCAGCCTTCATGTTGCAACGACACAGGTTCCAGGATGTAGAGGTTTGAACTCTCTGTGGGATGAAACTGATTTGGGGGATTTGGTTTGTCTGAAATCTCCTGAATATACTCTGAGCAGTTTTCTGGGGAGGAGAGAAAATACAACAATGTGTCATTTCTTAGAGCAAAACACAACAGTAATGTAAATATCTGATGACCAAGAGTTGGTTAGAAGTTATTTTTCTGTAATCACCTTTGTTTATTTTAAGCTGGCAGTAGGATGACATTCTGCAGGATAAGGAGGAACCACAGTCACATTCATTCTCTGGAGAGTCAAATTTAGACGACAATTAAAGCTTTTAAATGAAAGAAAGAATGAAAGTCACACAGGAAGAAAAAGGAAGTTGTGCTGTTATCAACTCTCAGTTGTAATGTGAGCATTTCACAATTCTAGTTTTTCAATTGACTACTCATACTTTAATCTTAAAGATATATCCAAAATCATATCTTTTTTATTTTTTCTTCTTGTTGTCGCATCATTTTTCATTTGTTTCTTTCTTTTGAGTGATATAACAATATAACATAGTGTGTTCCTGTCTGTTGGCAATAAATCTTGATTTTCAGAAAAGCAGCTACTACTTAGCATCAAAATTGAAAGTTTTCTTCAGTTAACCCTTTGAGGCTATTATATCATATGTATCATATTTGATATATACAGTTTTTCAACATTTAATGGCGAAAACTTTGCTCTAAAACGTGTTGTACACAATCAGATATCTGACAACAACCACCAAACGGGAATAACTCTGACTTATTTGAATGTTAATTATTCAGAATTTACTTATTTATTTACCTCAGATGGTAAATAAATGGTGGTAAACTAATAATGGTAACCTAAGATGTGTTTACATGCCATCTGGATCTTTAGACTTTGGGAAATTATGAAGTATTTTAACAATCATGATGTAAAAGATGTCCTCATTTTTTCTTTAATAAATACTAATGTATTGATTAAATTAGAAATTAAAGGATCTTAACCGTGGTTTACATGTAAAATAGTAGACTTAAAGAAAATTTAAATCTAACTTTTATTTTTAGCGCTTTCTAAAGTGTACAAAAATACAAATGGTATCAGAACTGTAATATCATAAAGACGTTTGCAGTTATGTCTTTTTCTAAATTAATTTTTCAAGTTGTCCACTTATTGCTGTGAAAACTGTAAACAATTTTTCAAAAATCTAAAAAGCTAACTTTATGATGTTATCCACTGTAAAAAGCATTGTCACAGGTCATTTGTTTCATGATGTGTCATCATACTGGTAAATAAAAATCATTCAATTATCATGAAAGAATGTCCAAGCTTTTCCCTCCAAAAGGCCTTTACCTCTCCTCATGGTCTGCAGGTGCTCCCACAGGATCTCCCCTGCCGTGGAGTCAGACATCAGACTCAGGAAGGCGTCTCTGTCCAGACCACACAGCTCGCTGCCCGGGACCCCCCTCAAGTCGGAGGCCAGGCAGTGGAGGCCGAACTCGGCCTGGCACCAGTCCAGCCAGTGGTTGACCTCCCACTCTGACCACATGGTCGGATCTACACAAACGCGCGCACAGTAAATACATCCGGCAGGAGCTGTTAATCGTAGTTCAGCGGTTCCATTCTGCATGTCTGAAATAAAGTGTGAGGGGATCCTACCGTGTGGGATTTGACAACTGACCATCTCCTGGGCAAAGCCAGCAAAACTGGCTTTCACCGCCTGGCTGAGGACCTCCTTACTGGTCGGAGTGAGAGGAGGGACATCCAGGGAATCCAGCTCTGTGACAGAAATGAGAAGAATTTCATTTTACCATACTAACTAAGGATCCTTTTTAAAACCTTGATTGATCTGCACTTTTCTAAATTAATGCTTTTTTTTCTGGAAATAAACCTAAAGCAGATTTGTTGCATCTAATCTACAGTGAAATGCCCAAAAATATTGCTTCGTGATCATGTTCCTCAAAGACAAGCATCCAATCATAACATTTAGTGATTTAGTCCTTGTTATAACACTAATTACTGCTGCGTATTATTATTATTATTTTCATTCCCTCTATAGTGTTTCTGTATAAAGTAGGACACTTGAATCAAATACGTAACAACTGTTTTTACATATGTTGAATATTTAACAGTATTAGATCATTTTTTTAAATCTTCTATTTTGTTATATGCAGCATATTCTTTATATTAAATATATTTTTCATTGGCTTGTGAATTCAGTCTTCAGGCTATGGTTGTTGAATCAAGCCAATATATTTCAAATATATAAAATGTCAATAATATTTGAAATTATTCACCACTCTTTTTAGATTAGTGGTATATTGCTTTTAATGATACTACATATTGTTTGGTAAAACTCAATTGAACATGTAAATACTTTGATACTAACTGAATGGAATATTTCATTACTACTGTCACTGCTCTTGTTGGTTACGGCGAAAAATTTTGTTGGGAAACAGAACTAATAAGATGTTTTTTGTTTTTTATCCTAACATTTTTAAATGTAATGTGCAAGTTTGGTTAAAACTTCCATTAACTAAAATCAAATCAGGGCTCTGAGGTCACTAATGAAATTATCAGGCGCCAACCAAAATTAAAACAGTTAACATCAACATATAAAACAATTGCAAGCACTTTTTTTCACATTTTTGGCTAAGTCTGCCACCAAAGAAACATGTAACACATTTTTTTGCATCTACATATTAATGAACAATAAGAATGAATTAATACATATTGGATACTATCAATTAAATGACTAAATCAAGTAGAACCCTGGAATAATAATCATCTATTGATGAAAGAACAATGCTGAACAGATACCTTACCGTAGCAGGAACCTTACCATAAGTGTCACAATCCATGCCAGTGTGTGTGGAATTAAGGATCCGGTGGAAGTAACAAATATCAAGGCAGTGGGAATGAGGCTTTAATATGATAGCTTGAGAGGAGGGAACCTGTAGTGATGGACAAATGTCAATCATTCTCCCGTGGGCTGGACAAGGACAGACGTGAGGCATTTCCAGATAATACAGATAATACAGCCACGGATATCCATCCACGAACCCAACCCTTTTTAGTGTTTGCCGTATTTACGCCAGGATTATTTTTCATCACAATGGGTTAAGAAATTAGTCTATGTAGTTTAAATCATTAACAATTTGCTGGACATTTTTTAACACAGATATTATGTATTCTAACTAGGACATTGTGACTTTCTCCCATACAGTAACCCAACATCAAAATCGATTTCAGTACCTTAACTGCAGCGGCTGCATTTTGAATGTAGCATGACAGGCATGAATTGTTCAGCTGCTTTTACTCTGCCATGTTTATTATCTCCCTGTACAGCCTGTTGAGAAGCACCCAAATAAAACGTTCCTGGTAATTAGCCAGTAATTGTGTCAGGCAGAATGTGAGCAGTGACTGGTTCTGCCAGACAAAGGGAACGGAGATCAAAGGTTATATTTTAATCCTACTATTTTAAAAGCCTTCTGGAGACAGAGTGGCAAAAAAAAATCTAATAAAAAAACTATTTCTGACCTCTAGAGGGAGACAAGTAACAACAATCAAATCATCAATTTATATCAATTAAAGTCATGTGTTTTACTTTATTATTTCTAAGTTAAGATGTTTTCTATTTGTGCTCCACTTTGAGTGAAGTTTGTTTCTCTCCACTACATTTATATCTAAGCTTATATATACCTTTATCTAAGCCTATCAAGTTACAATTTTGTACAACTAAATGTCCTTATCAAAGTAAGTGATGTATTTGTAACTGAATAAACTAAAATAATGAAAGACCACAATGTACGTGACTCTGAGATAAGAAATAAAGAAAAATATGAAATGGGACAGATACCATAAATCAATCAATCAGATACAGTGAGAGTTTAACAAAAAGCAGAGCCAAATCTTCATCAGATTTCATATGTTGAAATCAGAAAGATGAAGTTCGCTTTTATGTAACGGCGGATATTTAATAGTAAACTGAGACATTTCAGGTCAGTCTTTTATTGACTAAATGAAAAGCAATAACAGTTCGGTGTCTTTGTTCTGCAGCTGGAGCAGAACAGCCCATAAGGATGTAGTTACAGTGCATCAGTACCGTAGAGCACAGTGTTTCACACGCAGGTACAGCAGAAAATAAACACATCCTCCAAGATTCACCAGGATAAGTCACTTAGGTTTTAGACAGAGAGACCTTTCTAGCTTTGATCACTTTTAGGAGCAGAAAACACGAGAGGACGACACAAACATGCAGAGGATCATACGAGTGAAGCCGCACGTTTCTAACTGCACGTGGGATTCCTCTATGAATCAAAAATAATCATTAGGATTTCATTAACATGCAGACAAATGGATACATTTAGCTAACACCATAAATGCTTTACAGAACAGTCAAAATAAGTTTTGAAATGCTCCTATAAATAAGAAGGTGCAATGTAATTTAATCCTCATGATAGTTACGTGGACATCATGAACGTTTCAGACTCTAATCTTCTCAAAACTATATCATTTTCTTGTATTACATAAAACCAGTTGGACAGGCTGACACATACTGATGACAAACGAATTGCGGGACAAGACATCAAACATTTTACATAAGCCCATCTCACCTAACCATTGCAAGATCATGTGGAAGTTATAGAGGTTGTACAAAAAATGAATGTTATAAGGAAATAATATCACAGTGCAAAGTGAAGAGGTTAGAGCTTTGGACCAAACGGTGAGCTACATAGTAAGGCAGAGGAGGCGGATGTTGAGGTTTAGCGAGGGTCATCTGGGGCAGCGATCTTCTCCAGACTGGGCTCTATTCCCCAGATCTCCCGGGCATACTCGGAAATAGTCCGGTCGCTGGAGAACTTCCCACAGCCGGCAATGTTACGGATCACCATTTGGGTCCACTCTTTGGGATTCTGTGATAGGGAACATTAGACACAATATTACTTACTGCACAAAAATGAGATGACTGCCACTTGAACCTTTCATTTCTTGCTTTTCCATTAGAAGCAGAATATTATTTGATGAACTAAACCTACTTATGTCATTTTTACCACTCAGTTTACGTAATGCTAGAAAGACATTTTCAACTTGATATTTTTTATTATAAAGTGCCAGACAACCACTTAAAAATCACTGACTCCTAGTATTATTGTTAAAAATAAAAATAAAAAATTCAAGAGAAACATTTTTCTTGTGCTTTTTTTTTTTCTTCAGAGGACATATAAATAATTAAAAAACATTTAGCTGAACCTAAAGCAAAGGCTGTTTTTTTTTATTGAATTTATTCTTTTTTAAAGCTTCAACAGCAAAAAAAGCTTTTTTTTCCAGAAAGCAACTAGGACGAGGAACCAGGCCAAATGCTTATAAACTGATATAGGATGATGGGATTCAGTCCAGATCTCAATCCAATTCAATGTTTAGACTCAAGGAAGTTCAGACCATGCTGGGATAACATAGGTAGTAAAGTAACCATAAACAGAATGTAAAGAAAACCTTTTACCTAATGTTGTGAAGCGTATATGTAAACAGATCCTTGACAATTAAGGATGTCAGGATGGATATAAGCTCAAGCTATATCACGGGTTTCCTTTCCGTTGACACTGACCTTATAGAGAGCACTGACTTTCTCCTGACATTTGATGTAATCCTCATAGTCTGCAAACACTTTGAACCTACAACACAAGGATTTAGTTAATAATTAGACACCATAATACACATATTTTCATATAAATTAAGCAGGTATTTGGAAACATAATAGCAACAAAATTCCCAAATCACTTTTTGAAAATGTCGATGGTAATGACTTTCTATCCATGTGACCAGTGAGAGGTTCATGATAGATTTAACATGTTCACATTGGGATGTTCCAGTGTACATCATCTCATTTAAGCATGCGTGAGCTCCAACCTGTCGTGGTGCATCAGCATGTTGACCAGATCTTTAAAAAGACCCGGCTGGCTGGGACTGAAGAAGCCTCCGGATATCTGGTCCATTGCCAGCTTCAGCTCTGGAATGCGGTTGTAGTACGACACGGCATCGTAGCTGAGGAGCATTAAGCATGAGGTTAGGGCTTACACCATTAAGGGGATGCTGCTAGTGTCAGCCAATAAAACAATTTTGTAATCCATCTTAAAATCAGATATAGTCTATAATATAATGCATTATCGTCACCTGGAACTCAACTAGTCACATCAAATATCAAATTCTATATCTATATCTAAGGCCCAAAACATCCTATTAACATTAAAAAAACATAAAGGTTAACAAAATGTGAAAAATTGACTTCTTTTTCTTCCATGACAGAAAACAATATTCAGAGACAATGGTCATTAATTCTCAATTTTGATTCTTCACAGTGAACGCCTTTTGCTTTGCTGTTATCGTATGATGATTTCATTTTTAGCTAAAGTTAAAAGTTAAATATTTAGGATCTCCTGCTGACATTATTATAGCAAGCCTTGAAAATGTATCCAGTGTCGTTCACATTTATGAAATGACACCTCTTCAGCTTACCCCTTCTTGTCCAGAGCCTCCACATCATGCACCCTCATGCCAAAGATGAAGAGGTTTTCCTCCCCCGCTTCCTCTGCCATCTCCACATTGGCTCCATCCATGGTGCCGATGGTGAGGGCCCCGTTCAGCATGAACTTCATGTTCCCCGTGCCAGACGCTTCAGTTCCTGCAGTGGAGATCTGCTCCGACAGGTCAGACGCAGGGATGACTGGACAGAAGACGGACAGAGATTGGGATGTACTCATGGGAGATTCACATGACAGGAGAAAGCAGCACAATGGAGGACAAAAGACTAAACATCAGTTTACACCTGGGATCTGTTAGCTAATTTACATTATTTATGGTGGGAAAAATAAATGCCACCGTTTACCCTTTTCAGCCAGAGTAACTCTGTAGTTCTCCAAGTAGATTACTTTGAGACGATCTCCCACCACTGGATCGTTATTGACAATGTCCCCAATGGATGTGATCAGCTTGATGATCATCTTGGCTGTGTGATACCCCGGAGCTGCCTGGAATCACATAGGATGCACTTGTTGGAAAATAAAAAATACAGCCTGATTCTCCATAAGCTACAGTGTCAGAAGGATTTCACAAACAGCAATATTTTACTGAAACTGGATTTTATTATTATAGGACATATTGGAGTGTGTGGGATAGTTAAAAAGCAGTTAACCCATGAAAGGGTGAGTGTTTCTCAGAAGACACTTATGCTTATTTATCTATTTATTTTGAAGTTTTCTGGTTAGTTAGAAATCAAGATCTTAGAGATCATAGATTTTTCGCCTGTTTGAAAATGTATGATAAAATTACTTAAATCAACAAATATGTTAACCGTAAGAAATAAGCCTTTAAACCCTTTAACACCTACACTTGCAAAAAATGACAGGATTTTGCTTTTCTTTGAAGCAACACCAACCAAATTCCCTGTTTTTCACAAATAGTTAGGGGGGGACACTTTATGGTAAAATTGTGAAATGTTAAAAAATAAATGTCTTAACTTATGCTCAATATAAGCATTACATGCCTAAAGTTAATTTTAGAGCTAGTTTAGTATATCCTATGACTAAGAATAATCACTGAAATATGTGCTCTACCAAAAGGTTGGAATGGATGTCAAAGCGTTAAAAAGTTAAGCACACAAAATGTGATGGAAACTAAACACTAACTATCATCATTTTAAAATATTATCATTATCGAATGATAACAATAGAGTTATGGGTTAAAGAAACTAGAACAACATGAAGAGCAAAAGTAGTACTTTCTTATTATCGTGGCCATCTACAATTCCTACAGTTTATTTTTCAAAACAAAAGTTTTCCCTTTGCTACTCACCTTTCCTCCAATCATGACAGTCCTAGGAGTCCATGCCTTGTTGGGCTCCTTCTTGATGCCTCATTTTAACGAAAAAAAACAACCATCCTTAACTCCAAATCTATAAGAGCTGCTTTCAATTTGACACAAAAAGCACAAAAAAGACACTTACGGTTATACATCGTGATGATGTGCAGGCAGTTGAGCAGCTGCCTTTTGTACTCATGGATCCTCTTTACTTGGACGTCAAACATGGAATTGGGATTAATCTTTACTTTGTACTGCTCTTCAAGATGGGCAGCAAACTTCATCTTGTTCTCCTTAAAGTTCAAGCGGAGAGATATGATATGATTGGATTGTGTGAGTAAGACACGATACGTTTGAATTCATTCATTCGAAGCTCTCACTTGTTTGACTTTAGCAACGTCCCGGATGAAGACGTCGTCGTCCACAAAGTCCAGCAGCTTCTGCAGCTGGTCCAGGTCCCGGATGTATTCCTCTCCAATCCTCTGGATTATGGAAGTAAATATGTGCCATCAGAATTTGAATAAAAAATAACTCCGAAATTTGAATGTTGTATATTAGTGCTTACTTTTTCAGTATTAAAATAAATTCAGAATATATTTTTAACCAAAAAAAAATTCAATGTCATTATTTGTACATTAAAAAAAAATTCAGTGTAATTTTTTTTACATGGTTGCAATTTTCAGTTATTAAAAAATTTTCACTGAAAAAAAACACTGAAAATTTAAACTGTGAAAAATATGTATATTGAAAATTTGATCACTTTGAAATAGGAATGTATTGAATTTTTTTTAGGTTAAAAATATATTCTGAATTTATTTTAATACTGAAATTTCAGAGGTATTTTTTATTCAAATTCTGATGGCACATATTTACTTCCATACTGGAAGTTCAACAGGGAATTCAGCAAACCGCTTCCCCATTTCTCCACTAAAACTTTAGAACTTGCAACTGTTTACCAAAGCGACGAGTGACATTATTTACACAACCATTTTCTTCAAATGGAGGCTCGACCTATTCAGAATCTGATGATTTGAATTACTCCCACCATCTCTGAAGGCCAAACCTCGGCATACCTCAGCGATGACGTCAGCTAGGCCGGGGTTGCACATGACCAACCAGCGCCTGGGTGTGATGCCATTGGTCTTGTTCTGAAACTTTTCGGGGTCAACTTCGTAGAAATCCTTGAACCTGAGGAGAGATACTAACATGAGACATCAATCTGACTATTCTAGTGCAGAAAAACTGATTTCCTTAATTATCCAATTTGCCAAGAGCCGAGAGAGGCTGTCTTACACCGTATTTCTAATGATTTCAGAGTGGATGCGGGCCACTCCGTTGACAGCGTGAGACCCCACGATGCACAGGTGGGCCATGTTGATTTTCTTCGCGTCCCCTTCCTCAATCAGAGACATTCTGCGCAGACGGTCGTGATCTCCGGGGTAAAGTTTACTGATGCGCTGGAGAGGTGATTAAATGTGAGCAGATATTGATTTGCAGTGTTAGAACACAACAAAACATGATAAAAAAAAGTTCTAAAACATTCAACATCAAGAGTGAACGGGTTTGGTTAATATTCTATAAATAAGATACATCTCTCATATTACGCTTATTTCATCAAATGTTCATAGAAATGATCATTGTTGCAAACACAAAGTTAAATATTTGGAAAATTGCTCTTGAAGGTTTTTAATGTCAAGGAAAATTATGCTCTTATTCATCAGTTGAGAGTCACTAAAAGAGTATGTCTTTATTACTGAGGTCCCTTTCCTTTGTCTTTACTTTAATTCCATTTCTGCTAAACTTCAGACAAGCATGCAGGGTGTGAGGATTTAAAATCTCCCAGTGGCTGAGTGCATCTCTTCTCTGTCTGTACTGAATAGTTGGAGGTTGTTGTGTCAATTCTCTCTAATTTCCTGCTTTGTTACAGCCTAATATTCATCTTAAAAACAGCTGCTACTTCTCTTTTCTCTTCTATACATGTAAATATTGATTTTACAAACAATATTTCAGCTTAAGTTGAATCATTTTGTATATAGATGCAGAGGAAAGGAAACTGATCTCAATTTAATCAAACATAGAGGCTTCATGTTAATTCTGAAGATGCTCCTAGGGCAGATACCCAACCCGTTCACACCTCCAGATGTCTTCTATTGATTTCGTAAATGATCTCCAGATGTCGAGGGAGCAGGTTTTGGAACAGGTCAACGGGCCAGCGCTCCAGGGCCTCGGGCAGGACGGTGTGGTTGGTGTAGGCACAGGTGCGGGTCACAATGTCCCAGGCCTGAACACAGAGAGAGAACCCAGCGGACATGGTCTCACTTCAGCCCTCAGTGCTCTCCAATAGATGGAAACGCATCTGTTTTCAGCTAAATTCAGCTCAGTCAGGATCCTTCCTCATTGGAAATGAGTTCTCTGCACAGTTCTATTCAACACAGTTTTTCTTTTCATATTGGAGTGTCAAAAAACAAATATTCTTCCTGACATGAAAATATTTTGACAGTACAGACTAAGGCCACATAAAGGACCGTAGGGAGAAAACCAGTGGTCACAGATCTTTAAAGGAAGACACAACTCCTACTGAAATAGTCTGAAATGTCACCCACCTCCTCCCAGGAGAGTTTCTCAGTATCCACCAGAATCCTCATGAGCTCAGGAATAGCCAGAGCTGGGTGAGTGTCATTTAGCTGGATGGCCACCTGCACACAAACGTAACAAAACAACATGTAAATAACTGCTACCAACAGAACAAGTACAAATCAAATCTGTAACTTTTATCAGAATTTTATACTAAGTGAGACAAGAGCATGTCAATTCTGCAATAGGGAATATACGAATCAATTCTAGCTTTTGTCATATCTTCTGTCAATCCCTAATGGAAATGGTCATGAATATGTCTCACCATTTGTCTCATTTCTAACCAGTGACTCAGAAAGGGTTCAAGTCCTGCATGACTCCAACCAGACTTGGTATCATGTGGAAAACACAATACGTTCAATTCATTACAACTTACAAGCTAGCAAGCTTGATTTCCACTTGTAACTGGTTTGTAGGTGTAGGTGTTTCTCCCCCTAACCCCTGTGCTACGCTAGCCCTATCTGCATCTATAGCACAAGAATTTCACTGCATTGCAAAATACATGAGACATTCAAACTGGAAACTTGACACCATCTCGAGGCATTTGTGTAGTTGGTAGCTCTATGCCTGCAGTTAAACTTTATGTTACGCAAAAGTAGGCCAACACTAGTCTGCTGGTGTTGGCACCTTCTTCTTTTCAGCTAATCGTGTTAATGATTCATATTTTCAGGCTTGCTGAACTGACCTGTACAGCAATAATAATTAGAACTTATATGACCCTTCTGGCTGATTTCAGGTGTAGTTCCACATGCACCGGTGTAAAAAGGTGATACAAGCTATCAAACTCACAAGTTACAAAGCATGTGTGCGTGGTACATGGTGCATGTCCTTATCCAAGCCCTATTTGCCAATAAATGTTGCAATATATATATGCACGTTTATCTGGGGCAGTCACCTTTTCTGGCATAGTAGAAAGGTCCATGCGCACATATTCCGTGGAGCCAAACTTTGAGGCTTTGAATCGACGGATGATGTCTTGCAGAGTCGCAGCTACAACAAAGTACTCCTGCTTCAGACGGAGCTCCTTTCCTTCAAAAAACTAAAGAACAAAGACAGAGCACTGTTAAAAATGTTATCTCTTTGCATTCTAACCCGTGGTCATTAATACTTTTGCATATTCAAATCAATAGACTGTTCACATTCATGCACATTCACAATAATTACAAGCTGGAAGACTGTTTAAATAAAATCAAGTTTGTCAGTTAGATAAAGCTTAATTTGATATAAGAAATTAAATCAAAATCAATGTAAGCATTCTTTATAAATGGGGTTTGCCATGCTGTTTTTCTATATTAGATATGTAAGTAAGTATAAAACAGTAATAGGTAGTATGGGTGTGAAAAATAATAAAAAAAATAAAATCCTCTCACGTTGTCATTAGGGTACAGAACTCTGGAGATGTTCTCAGCCAGGTTTCTGTCAAGCACAGCCTGGATGTATCCACCAACGTTAACTGTGGGACAACAAAAGAGAAAGAACCTCATTTCATTTGAGCCATTTCTCTTTCTTTCTTTTCTTTTTCCACTCATTCTTTCTAGTACTCACAGTCTTTGAGGTTAAATTCACAGGGAGCCTTTGCAGACCACAGTCTCATGGTGTTCACAATGTTGTTTCTGTAGCCGGGAACTGGAGTGTCATAAGGAAGAGCCAAAACCACCTGGACGCCACCAAAAATTAAGTATAAGCAAAATATATACATGAACATTATTCTGTTACACTCTTAGAAGAGTAATCTGAGTCATATATTTATATCTAAATGAATGTGTGTTCATATTTAGTCAAATATGAATAAATATATGCTATGATTGGTCAAATAAATCTAAATATTAGATGGAAAATTCTACATTTAAACGTAAATCTGGCAGATCTACATGGAAATAATGTCAGATTATTTAAACACATCAGACTCTGCCAAAATCATAAGCACATTTCTTTATATTAAAGTAGGTGCAGAAGTTTTGTGAAGAAGATATGTGCCAACATAGGCAAAGGTATAATATAGAAACAGATTTAGAATTTTAATTCACTTGAAATTGAATATTTTCAACGAAGAAAGTTTATTCTTTGACACTCTTTGAGATGCTCTTGTGTAATCCCTTAAAGTAAGATCCAGGATTAGTTCTCCAGGTTTTTTGGAAGGATATTCCAAAGCTCTTAAGTGGGTCATCAAAACGCACAAGGTTTAGGGAATTCGACTAATGTCTTACATATACACTGAATATATTCTAAATCTAAATATGCCATCACAGAGAATTTTTAAGAAATCAGATTAAGACAATGTGTTGAACGAGATAAACTAGAGAAATAACTTTTGATAATGCACACCTTCTATCATTGGTCTGTATGTGTGGGTGGTGTCCACCCACCTGTGTGTCCACCCACTTCACTCCCTCCGCTGTGTGCTCCACCCGGCCGTAGAAGTGGACCGGGCGCATGTACTCAGGGCGCGCCTTCTCCCACGGGTTACCGTAACGCAGCCAGTCGTCAGCCTCCTCCACCTGTGGGGGGACAATGCTGCATTACTCATTTGTTTAGAGCCCGCTCCGGCCAGTAAGCTGTCAAGACTCATGATTTCAAAAGAGGAAAATCAACTATTTTCCCTCATTCTCTGCGTAATGACGTCTTGTGACATTTTATTTATCAAATTGTGTAAGAAAAAATGTGGATATAACTATTCATACCCAAGACTAGAACTGACAGATTAATTTCAGACTCATATCATCTTAAAAATGTCAATGCAGTGATTGATTAGCAGGTTTATAATGACCTTATAAAATGTCTTATCTCAAGGCTATCAAGTTCTGTCTTTGGAAAATCTGGTCGGATTCGGATAACATTCGGACCTCAGTCATGAAATCATATGGTGGTTTTGAGACATATTTTTTTAAAACTTTTTTTCTTATGTCGTCTTACTTATGTTATCGCTAAAAACATTGATGACAAATTATTATTCCATCAAATAACTGATGGAATAATCCTGAAAACAACTTAAAAGTCTGGGATTAAAAGAACTGTGCTTCTGCCTCCTCAGACTGTTATTTTAAAATGTGGAAAATCTCAAAGTTTGGTATTCCACAAAGATATTGGTCATTAGATTTCAGCCTTAGTTTTAAGACGATAACTGAAATGATTATTTACGAGATATCTGGAGTCAATATTATCAGTACATATTTAAAAAATGTAGTTAAGCTATTTGTAGTCTTAAGTGTAGGGTGGGAGAAAAGGTGAAAGATGTAATTTTGGTGTTTTATAGTTATCAGTAATTGTCTTTGCTGAGGAGTTTGGTCAGCTCAGGCTTCAGGCGATCTGATGTAAAATATTAATGTTGTATCCTTATAAAAACTTCCAACATTCAAAAGCTATTTGTGATGGATTTAATGTATGTCTGAACCTTAAAAAAATCCAGCTGTCCAATAAAAAAAGTTTGAGATTAGCTGAAAAT